ATAAAACAGAAGACGTGGAATCGCCCGACCCAGAGGATGAATGCTACGTATGCATGCGTCCATTCAATTCCATCGACAACGAAGACGACCCTACCGAACTTCCATGCAAAGCCGTGCGACTCTTACCCTGCGGGCATCTCATCGGCAGCGAGTGTCTCAAGACGATGACTTTAAAGTTCAACATGACAAACTGCTCTCTCTGTGCAGTTCCTCTCGCCGTCAGCTATGCGAGCCGCATGGACTACGCAATGTGCTGTCTCTTGTCGAATTACTGCACCGAGACATTTATCGACTACGCACTGCTGGTTGGATCTGTACTCGCAGGCCCGCAATTCGCCAGCGTCCCTCTGCTACGTCGATTACATACACAAGCCCACGACCAGAAGATGGCGCTACTCTCACACGGCTTCTTCGCACGACAGTTGACATGGGCAGACGCTTTCTCGTTCTGGCTTTGCTACATGAAGCTGGTCTTTGTACCTTTGGGGGGCGCGACACTCTTTTTCCTGTTGATAGGCCTTCTGAAGAGGCTGGATAATCTCTACGGTGCTCCCATTGAGATTTTAATTCTCTATGGCCTGCTGGGCACGGATTTCAGGGCATATTTGTCCGAGACTGCCATGCGTATGGTCGTCCAGGCTCTATGCATCGTGATCGAGACGAGCGGTCAGGTCGCTATGATACGACAGCCGAGGCATCAGAACAAGCTCCTTGTCATGAGGGGTGCCGCGTTATGTAGGGAGGTTTTGATGATCTTGGGTTGCGATGCTTGCCTTTTTGTGGGCGGTTTGTTAATTATGAGCAAGACGTTGGATTTTATGGTAATGGCTGTTGACATTATGCTGCTCATTTCGTACGGGCTGAGGCGGAGAGGGAAGATGTTCAGGTATGCGTGCGGGTTCATGCTAGCGGCGGTGCTGATTTATTTGGAGACTGGTCTTCGTATGATTTCCATCGGCAGACTGACGGTTTCCGTCGGCTAATGTCTGCAGGCGTAGTAGAGGTAGTCGCGATGACGTCACAATTAGTCTACTACAATGCTCACGATCGACTATCAGTCCTCACTTTAACAAGGCCGTAGAAACGACAATAGCCTGAACTCACAACACGTGCATGCGCGTCATCGACGCGGGTGCGCACATCGCCGCGCTGTCTATCCCTGCAAAGCTTACTAGAAGCGGGCTGATCTATTCAGCGCCACATGTTTGCCTAGGGCATGTCATCTTCACGCTCACCACCTCCATCGCAGATCCATGCGCCGAAAGTGATCGATGCCTGCTCTCCGCAGGCGTTTCGATTATCGCCGTGGTAACGACATCGTTTCAAGGCGTGAAGCTGGGATGAGACCGGCTGCGCGAGCCACTCCCCACCCGCTCTAGGCGACAGTAACCAGCCGTATCAAACAATCTGCGATCAACAATACCTTTCCATGTGAGCTCGTAGCTCTCGTGACGCCCATGGTCACACATTGCCCTCTGTCAATACCCGTGTTGATCTACAACCATTCCGACCCTAGACCACATCAAAGCCATGGATCTCCCAACTGAACCAACCACCATCCGCAAGATCGTCCCCAAGACGCCGCAGATCAAAGCATCTCAGGTCTTCGATAAGGAAAATCGAGCTCCTCCAACACCATCCAAACCTAAGACCAAAGAGACAAAGCTAGCACTCAATGACGAAACCTCAGACTTCACCATCATCTGCGAAGGTCAACACTTCATCACCCATAAGAGCATCTTGGAAGCCTCTTCGCCTTATTTCGCGCGCATGTTCCGCTTCAACGGTAGTGTGAGTACCATCAACCCCATTGACATCCATCCCATGTTAATCCACTGCAGGAGAACAATGGAAAAGAAGTACACATACCCGACGTCGACACAGTTACCATGAAGCACATCCTAGACTACATGTACACATCAACATACCAGTTCCCCGGCGGCGAGACCATCCACCCCACAGCCTACTGCAACCACAGCACCTACGCCCTGTTGCACGGTCCCCCGACCGCTCCCCAGATCTTCAAGCGCAAATGCCCATGTGCCGGCAAGATGCTATCGGCTTCGCACCTCCTCCTGCACGTACGCATCTATACGGTTGCCGACTACTTCGATATGCACGACCTGAAGACCTTCGCACGTCAGGGCGTCATAGACGTTTTGCATGTGTATTGGCAGTATGATGGTCTGGACTTGGCTGATGCGCTGGAGGAAGCGTTCACATCTACGCTGGATGACGATGAGGGGATTAGGGATGTGCTTGTTGATGCAATGAAGATGCACCCAGGACTGGTGGTTGATGAGGGGGATGTGGAGGAGTGGTTGGAGGATCATCCTGAGGTTAAAGCGAGGGTTAACTGGGACTGAAGAGAGGGTCGTGATGCCCGACTGAGGTTACTAGATCGCGCGGGTGTTGAGGCAAGAGAAGGAACGGACTGCTAGTGAGTGTGCAGCAGTGTCTAGTAGAGTGGCATTGCTTGGTAGTCCCGAAGAATTTATGCCGGCACCATCTTTAGAATCGGTCACATTTGACATCCAACAGCGAGCTTGTAACGATCGGCTACACCAAATGTAAGCTACTGAAGCTTGATACCCCGCTGAGGAAATGTCCGACGTCCAAGACCAAGTGGAATACCTATCAACACGTCAGCGCACGAATCAACAACAGTTCAAACCCATCAACTTACCAGTACCATTCATCCCACACCCATCAACAAAACACGCACTCGCCGTATGAATATACCTAATCCTCCCCCCTTCAACCCGAAACATATGACTATCCGGCGTCCCCTCCGTATTCCTCGTGCGATCCAGCCCCGTAAAGCCCATGAAAATGTCCACAACACCCATCACCTCATCAACAACATACTTGCGATTAGTCATGGGGATATGTTCCGGCAGACCACCGAGATCACACGTATTCGCAGAGAGGTTGCCACGACCGGTATACGCGCCGCCTTCGAGACGCGCGCAGGGGGTGCCGAAAGGGACGTGGACGGAGACGTCGTTGCAGCGGTCGGCGTAGGCTTCGCCGGCTGCTTTGATGGTGTCGCGGGTGTCGCGGGTAGATTCTGGGATGGGGCTCCAGGTTTCTTGGCTGTTCCAATAGGAGGTGCCGGTTGCGTTGAAGGCCCAGTCACCTGCGTCGGTTACGATGCTGTCGATGAGGTTTACGTTGCCTGAGGTGTCGAGGGTCATCTGCGTGTGTATGACGTATGGATGCTTGGGGTCGGTCACGATGAGCTCGGTCATTGTCTTGCATTGTGTGGTATCGAGGATGGAGCGATGGGCGTCAATGGTTAGACCGAAGGCTGGTACGCCGCTGAGAAGTGAGGCGGTTTGGTTGTTTTCGAAGTATTTCATCGTGTAGGCGATGTTTTCGAAACGGTCGTGTTGGCCGGTTGCCATTAGGTCGACGTAGGAGTCTGCTGTGCTCTGGAGGTATTCGCGGGTGCAGTCGAAGGCCATGGCAGACGTTGCCATCGTGGCTAGGGCAATGAGGAGATGAAACATGGTGGGAATGATGACGGTGCTGTGGCCAGAGCGAGGTTCTTTGACTCCTTTAAACTCTGCTGAGACCCAGTACCGCTGCAGGCTGTAGAAATTCTCGCGAAACATATGCCCGCGTTGCTGGATCCCATGGGCGAATAGTAGTGATGCATGCGCTTCCTGTACTCTGGGGTTGTGGTCTCCTTCTTAGCCATATTGATGAAGGGTGTGGGGCACTCCGGCATTAGACCTTCGTCTCCAGGTACCTCACAACCCCACACGACTGTTGTCCGCGGGCCATGTATTGACGACGTTTCTCTTCAAAGCTCTTGCTTCCTGACATCCGGCAGGTGATAGCAATTCCTCAGTCGGCAGGCGACCCAAGAAGCCTCGCAGACATTCTTGCAATGCTCTTCATCCCAGTCATCCAGGTAGTCCCACAATGTGTTCATCGATGCAGCCTGTGTAACGTCAGTACGCGACCATCTCGATGCGGCCATTTGAAGATACATACTATTTCTTGTGGTGATGGCTTGCGAGATACGTCGTCGGTGTCCAATTCGGAATCGGCTTGCACTGGCTGCGACGAGCTGTGGTGCTGGTCTTCCGCTAGAAGCGCGAACGCGTAATAGACGCTGTATATCAGCAGAGACGAGAGGACGAGTACCAGTAGAATATGCGCGACTCGAAAGAGCAGCTTCATCGCAGGTTGCGCGGCGGTCTCGACTCAGTCAGGCTGCTGTGGATTGTTCCTGGTGGGATCTCATGAATCACGAGATGGTTCCAAGGTTGGGTGACCGAGCGCGCTAGCGCGCTTCCCGCTCTCAGGCCCTGCCACGCGTCTTCGCAGTACTTCCTTCTTTCACCTTCCCAACACTTTCATCGCAAATAACAATCACACAGCAAGCGTATCGCGAAGCAAACTGTTGTTCACGCGAATATTGCCAGATTCCAGCCATGATCGCGTCCACACTTACAACGCCGCCACACGCGCGTTCCGCTTCGACGCGTCCAGCATCTGCTACATGTCCAAAGTCACTACCTCCTTATTTCCTATACATGATTGGGGTTGATACACTGATCTGCGGAGCTGACCGCACATACTTGAGAAGGCTGACAGAAGAACACATACCTTGATCTGTCTGATTCGAAAGTCTGCTAACAATACAATAATGGAAACAGATCTGGTAATGAGTATCCTTCACTTTGTAGAGCGGGTGAAAGTTGTTCTATACCGACCATGGTTTCCAACCGGATGTGTTTTCACTCCATACTCGACAGGCGCCGAAGCAGAGCGCGAACCAATCGATCCTTCACGACTCTTCCCGCTGGGAACTTATCTGTCTATATAATGTACCGCTCTCTTGGTCTTATATCAACTACAGCCGTTCTGCAACTTTCAACGGCCGTTCAACCTTCAACACTTCCATACACCAAGCGCAATACGCTCTCTTATCTTTCTAATAGTCAGCTATCGGCCTTACCACAGTCTCAGTTGAAAGGGTCCCAACAATGAGCGATGATAGCTGGGACGACGATGACCGCCGTCACGACTCTCGCCGAAAGACGAAAGAGCGAAGAGTGAAGAATGAAAAGAACTTCCTCGAGACGTTGATGGACTCATCAATCGAGAACAGCATGAACAAGCCACTGTTCCAAGCTATCAAGGTCTGGATCGATTGCAACATAGGCATAGACCTCACCTATCTGGTTTGGGCTATTGCTTTATGCATTCCCGCTCGCACATACGGCAAGGCAACATATGACTGGCTCAGTTCGAACCTCACAAACTCACTCGAGCTCGACAGTAGCGATGCGCTGGTCACCGACCTTTTGATGTGGATCAGCAAGCAACCATCCAACCAGCTGTTCGCCTGGCTTCCGACTTTCGAACATTTGGAGTGGAAAGATTTGTCGCATGAGCAAAAGACCGCCAACAATGATGAGAGCAACTCTCACCACCTCATAGCTTCTGCTGGCTACACTCCTTTCTTCCACGAAGGCGTACCATTCCTGCTGTACAAACCGGATGGCCGAGGCTACGTCAACAAACTCACGTTACGCTGCATGTGGGGCAGTAAAAAGCCCATTGAAGCCTTGCTGAAAGCCGTTCATAAGACTGTCAGCGGCCAGATGACGTCTCTGAGTGTCCGTTACGTCTCTGCCCATCGCACTGTAAACCATACTTCGAGGAAACGTAGTCTTGAGACGATTGACATGAATCCGCTCAAGAAACAAGAGCTTCTGACTGATCTCCAAGTGTTCTTTGCCGATGGGACGGAGGACTATTACTACCAGAATGGAACACCATACCGGAGAGGTTACTTATTCTATGGTCCGGCTGGCACAGGCAAGACCAGCTTGTCTACCGCGATTGCGAGTCACTACAATTTGCCGCTTTGCGTCATCGACCTTGCTGGCATGGACGACACCCTTTTGCAGAATCATGTGAAAAATCTGCCCGCTCGCTGCGTCATCCTCTTCGAAGACATTGACGCTGCGGGCGTTGTCCGTGAACGCACCATGGCGCTGCCGCCTTTGGAAGAAGAAGAAGAAGATAATGACGATGAGGAGGACGAGGACGAGAGTAGTTCAGAGTCCATCAGCTCATGGAATGCAAGGCCGAAGAAGAAGAAGCGTAGGAATGTGGATTCTAGAAAGAAGAAGTCACCGCCTCCGCCGCCTCCCCCGTCGAGGACAAAGGTCACTCTAAGTGGTTTGCTTAACACTCTAGATGGACCTGGATCGCGAGAAGGCCACATCGTCATCTTGACAACAAACGCTCCCGATTCATTGGACGAAGCTTTGTATCGCCCAGGTCGTGTAGACACCCAAGTGTATCTCGGTTTCGCTGATGACATCACTGCTGGCATCACATTCACACGCATCTTTGGCAGCGATAAGCAGGTAACTGTGCCGCGGAAAGAGCTCAACCGCATGGGCCGCCGCTTTGGGCGCATGATACCCTCCGACTTCTTTACTCCCGCTGAGATTCAGAAGTTCTGCATGAACAGACGTGGTCAGCCACAAAAGGCACTCAATGAGTTTCCCCAGTTCATCGACGAAAAGCGAACGGGAAAGACGAACTTCCAGTACGACATCCACCGACGTGCCCCGCAACCCACGTTTCAAAAGAAGGAAGACGTACGGGACGATGACTCCAGCGGTGAGGGTCAGGACACTCCCAGCAGTACTGATGAGTCTGCCGAAGACGTCAAACAACTGAAACCTGGATCGCCCCATGCATCATCGACGAAGTCGCCCTCTGCAGCACGGCGAAGGAAGTACGTGGTGGAGCAGCTGCACATAACTCATAGCAGTCACAAGTCCGAAGACGATGCTTTGGCATACGGCGATTATTATCCGAGACGAGGTCAACAAGTTTGGGAGGACCGTCTAGCCGACAGTGTTGCCAATGCGTGCCTGGAGATCAAGGGGTTCTTTACTGAATCACGGCATCCGTCGCACGGAAACAGTCTGCGTGCAAATCGGATTGAAGAGATGAGCATGCCCAATCTTGACCCACGCGTGACCGCGCCGTCACCACTCACTCAGTCCAACCTTGATGCAATGTCGCTTGACGAACCTCCAGCGGCATCGCCATCTCCGATCGACTTAAGAGACTCATCTGTGTACTACACGCCTCTATCGGTTGGCGAACAGATTGAGAAGACTTTTCAGCATCACCGCCGGCCCAGTCATCCAGAAGTACTTGGTCGTCCTAATGCTTACCCGTATGACGGGGCCGTGGCGGAAGTAGCCGAAGGTAATGCCTGGGAGGATGAAGTCTCGCCAGCGCCTGATACAATGTTACTTCGTAATTTAGACCCACAGCCGTTGGAGGATCTCGAGCAGCACTGGAACTGAGGAACTGAGATCACAATGCTGCGCATTGGAGCCCGAATGTTGTGAAGTTGCAAGCAGCGGGACGAGGCCACGTCGGCATGTACCTGTAGGGTTAGAAGGCTCGGTGTTATTACCCAATACTACATGACCTGACTGAAATTTGCAATTTATTCAAGCATCGAAAGTTGGAAAAGCGATAAGTAAACAGAAATAGAAGGCCATACAGTGTCATGTTGTCAGATGAATGAAGCGAAGTTTCATCAGACTGGCATCTCAAAGGAAGACTTTCATAGAGAGGTGGCACTTGTTTTGAAGAAGATCGCGATCTGCGCCAGATCGCACCAAATGTGCTGCATTCCATGATATATCCCCGCGTTACGCGATGATTATAGTGGTCGTCGAAGAGGAATCTCGGATTGCGCAATGCTGTAATGATGACGCACTATGTCGTTGCTTCGTGGCCCGCAGCCCCGATGGCTAGACGGTTGTGACAAGACTGCATAAAGATGCCGGTAGTCATGATACCCGACTCGATATGCAGAAGTGTAGCAGTCTTACTGGGAACAACTTGTTGACAGTTGGGCTGAAACGGTGCCGGGGAATATCGGACGCTTTGGGGCGCGCAACCCTTTGACACTTGGAAAGACGACTAGTAAATTTATAAGAGTCTCTTGATGGTCTGAGGGAATTATTTGAGCGTAAAAAGACTACGATGTTTGTAGTCGTTGTAGAAATAGAGCCCAGATATGTAGGGACTGTGTCTGATACATCAGCTTAGCCCACGTGACATCGCGTTCAGAAGCACCATGATTGGGTCGGAGGGCCCATCCGTACCAACGACACTACTCCTGCACCAGCACGATTCCGTACAAGACGTCTGGACACAAACCTGCTTATGCAAGTCAGTCACTTTCACGCAGGGTCATCCCGCTCGACGATGCACCGAACTTAGACTATCACTGTTCATCGATCCTTACATCAACGTTACAGTAACTGCAGATAGCACCGGGTGGACTACACGTCCTGTACATGAGTATGAATCACTTGGCGATGGGGGTATAGACCGTATGTAGGCTTGCTTCTTCCATGCGAAAAGATAGCACCGGGAGAATCACACATCCTGTACATGAGTACATATTGCTTAGCGTTGAGGGTATAGACCGTATGCATCCTTGCTTCTTCAATGGGGAGAATTGCCGGACCCTTGACTGGGTCGACTAGAAACGAGCTAACTCATTCTCCGGCCCAAGGTTTCGCTTCACGATCCCAGTAGTGCAACTCATCCGGGCTCGACCGCATGAACTAAGAAACATTGGGTTGTACATGCCAGTAGGCTCCGCATCAGGAGAGAAATACCTAGATACTCGACCATCTGATCAAGATGTGGAGCTAAATCAAGTTTTGAGATATGAGATATGCAGAAAAGGAGCACGTCCGGTAATTTGGGGTCATGGAGACAACCACTTGGCGTCTTTAGCCTGGTTCTCGGCGACAGGGCTGGTCTGCAACCGGTCACAGTATTTCAGCAGTCCACAATGAGGTTTCTTGCTCAGACAACTTTTGACATGTGTGCAACATAAGTCTAGGCTACAGATTGCATCCACGTATACAAAAATGCTTACCAAATGAAATTATCCAGCATAGCCCTCTAAGAAAACATCGTTGCGATATGTAGGTAGTTCCTGAGACAGAGAATGGTTATCTTCGACAAGGAAGTGGTCAGACCGAGTGCTATGACCTTGCAGCACTGTAAGACGGGTACTTCACCCATATAGCATTAAAGTAACGCCCGCATCTCAGCCCATGAGAGAATACATCAAGGGATGTGCATCAGAGCTAGCATGAGATTGATCTTTGTGTGGTCCTTGCGATTGCCCATAAAACCCGTGGAAGACCTCATCAGGACCGGACCCTTCGAGACAGACGTAGGGATGTTCGTGAGAGCTGCGTAGAACGAGAATGCCACAGATCTCGCACATAAATGGCTCGAGATGTCAAACGTAGGACGATGTTGGCAGACATCAAGCGAGACCCATGTGGTCGGAGATCGAAGCTATGAGAGCCTTCTTTTTTTGCACAGGCTAGGCCCAAAGCGCCGCTAGCTTACCCCACCACAGGATTCAAACGAGAGCAGCAAGGAGATTTACACCGAAACCAATGAATGACCTTTATCTTTTCGCTTATTTGCCAGTTCCGGACCTTCTCATCCGCTGCCCAACATCTCTGGACCCTGCGCTGTTGCGATTCTAGAATCTGTTCGTGCACAGGTGAGAGCCGCCACCAGTAGCTTCAACTAGCTCGCATCGGAACCGTGGAATCATACCTTTACTACACGTTTGACACTTAAAGCCACAACTTCGCCACTCATCTGCCTGCCAGGACTTCCGCCTGCGCTTTACTTTTTGGCGGTATTGACGCCGGCCGCGCCACCTCGAAGGCTACCATGGGACTCCTCGATCTTCCACCAGAACTTCTTGACCTGATCATTGACCGTACCGCACCTGATGGTCTTGAAAGCTTCGTGCTCTCATGTAAGACTGTGTATGGACGCGCTGCGTCCCAGATCCGACAGCACAATGACATGCGCAAGACTTGGAGCCACACGACTAACATGAGCCGGACTCGTCGCGGTGACACATTGGCTATCCTGCACGACATCTCCCGCGACCCGATTATTGCTGAGTACATTGAGACTCTTTCTCTCTGGGATCACCGGCAAGACGATGAAATGCCGGAGGATACCACCCCGCACAGTTTCCGCGAAGATGAGCAGGAGATGAAAAATATCAGAGATCTGCTGCGGCGCGCCGAATATTACGCCGATGCTGACGAGGAAGAGTGGTGGGGTCGCATTCTGGAAGAGGACAGAGCGGGTGACCAGTCGAACATGGACAAGTTGTATGCGACCGTCGCTTTGTTAAGTCTTCTACCCAACCTGAAGACGCTGCAACTGCCTGATAGGTGGCATGAGGTCAGGGAAGGTGAGGGCGCCGAGGCTCTTGTTTCTAATGTGCAGTCGCTTGTCGCCATGTCCAATGCAGATGGGCACCGGCAGAAGCCCCTGGCTCGGCTCGAGACTTTGTTACCGTTCGTGGAGGAAGGGTATGACGTCAGAGTTGGCTTGCAATGTCTCGCGCCTTTCATGACTCTCAATAGTATACGAAACATCTACGCTGTCAGCTGCGTTGCGGTTGACGAGGATTGGGGAGGTGTTCCCTTCAACTGGCTCAACCCAAATGTCAAATCTCCCTTGACCCGTGTCGAATTCGCCTACTGTTGCATGGACGCTACGGGACTCTCGGCCTTCCTCACAAACACACCAGCTCTCCAAGTCTTCAAGTACTCACACCAAACAAAATGGGATGGTCTTGAACACGACTGGAATGCGGGCGAAATGATCGAGACCCTGGCGAACTACAACAGCGATACTATTGTTGACCTCGCCATCACCATTGACGAGCTGCATGGCGAGATTGTAAACGGTCTTTCCTCGTTTCTGCGCTTTACGAAATTGCAAAAGCTAGAGGTGGACGTTGAATGCTTTTGTGGACCACCACTGGAGAGCGGACAGCGCCAGGGCCGTGATGCGCATATTCCGACTGGCGCGAGGACGTGGGGACATATCGACATTCCCTGCATGGGTGACATGCTTCCGGAGAGTATGAGAGAGCTGCATGTCAACACAAACTTCCCGGAGCCGTCGGAAGAGTCCCTTAGGGCTCTGTTCAAGAACATCGTGGTGCGACGTAAAGACAAGCTCATCAACTTACATACGGCGATCATCCGACAGTACGGGTCATCCAGTGCGGGAAAGATTGCCGAGAGCCATGATGTCATTTTGGAAGTATTCGGCGCCGATGGTGACAACCTACTCCCAAGGTCCATGATGCCACTGTGGAAGAGAGAATTCAACAGTCGCGTCGGCGGCATCGTATTCACAAATAGCTAGAGCGAGGAACTGACATCAACCGGAAGATTGCAACCTTCCAGGTGCGCTGGTAGGCTGGTACCCGGATCAGAAGACGCGGGTTTCGACGAGTACGTTGTTGGTTTAGAACGCGATGCTGGCGCTTGTGTGTAGGCAGTGGTGATCCAAGGGAATGCTAGAGGTCGTGGCTAGCTATCGCTGATTCAGAATTCTTTGTAGATGTGTCAACGGAAAGTCACTTAATCTGGAAAGCAATGAGAATGTAAGAACGACCTTCCAGTGATCGCGAATGTTGTGATGGCCCTGCATAGTCAGCATGATAGCGCGAGTCACGATTGCGTCATACTAGCGCCCTCTAACCAGCCACCTCGCGCATTGACAAGATCATCGCATACGAAAGCAGGATCGAAACTTATTACATTCAATACACCAGCAGCTACAACCTTGCTAATCTCGAAGCCATGGCAGTTGCGTGCTCATCCCGAACTGATCACGTCGCGCGAGCACCGGCCAGCATGACCCATCCTTGTTACAGCATACCGGAACAACAATCACAGCCCCACTACCTTTTATCAATGGTATGATGAAAGCCGACCAAGAGGCTCAAACGTCTATCAATTTATCTGCTCAGAGAACTCAGATGGCGCGAGGCGCATGACTTCACCCAGCGGCAGCTCTGGATTAGCAATGGCCGCAGCCCACTGAGACAGTAACACAATGTACAGCACGTGAACGATGCGAATATTGGTCTAGAGATGCGTTCAGTCAATATGTGCATGACCAATGTCTCTCGCTCGACAGGTTGACCAAAGTATGGTTCACGCTGACTCACAGAACTTCGAACAGTCATATACTCATTCTTCAAAACCTGCGTTTCCTGCCCTTATTCCATCATCTAAAGATATCGCCCCATCAACTTCGGATATGAAGGTGCCACTTGAGATACTGCGCTGCATCTTGGAATTTGCAGGCGCGTCCTATAACCGTCACGAACTTCTCCAGCTGAGGCTAGCCAATTGTATGTCCATTAGTCCTAATGGATCTCGTCGCATAGCTAACATTATCTAGCTCTATTCGACGAAGAAGTCCGCTC